GATACCACGGGACTGGCTACAGTTTCACAACCATTAGTCGGGGAGAAGTTCTGGGCGGTCGCACATCCTAGACTCGAATTCGAAGGGATTGAGGATGGCGACATCGACAAGTACCTCAAGTTTAGCGACGACTACATTGACGAGCGATATCGATGGGAGGCAGTGTCATTGACTAATCGGAATGCATTGTACGCACCACAAATACACTCTCATTTCACAATAATAACAACAACCAACAGTTTCATGCGACCTAATACGTTGCACTACGTATTAACACAAGACCCGGCTACTGTTTATGGCGCACATTTCTACGCCACAGCAAACATCCTCGCAACTTGTTCCGGTGTGGTCCACTCTCTTCTCGTCGATCACCTTGCGACAAATACTTCACATCCCGATCTTATTCCAAACTTGGCCATGCTAAACTATTATCACAATGAGGCATGGTTTCATCGAATCGATAGCCCATGTAAGCGATATTGCCCACGTTTATTATATTTATACTCACCTATTATTTACAGATCGAGACATTGTTCCGAAAACATGTGATAAACGCAGCATGCTGTGGTGTATGGCCATATTCTGGAGAGCTCTCGACTGGCGTTCATACAAGAAGATCGAGGACCAACAAGTATACCGTACGGAGGAAGAATACACGGAAGAATACGATTTTCCGGCCACTCATAGAATGTGGATGCAAACCGCGATGAACGCCGCCGCCGACTCAATGATCTACTTGTCGCACATGGGATGGGAGGAACTGCCTAATGTGCCCAGAGGATACGAAGACGGGCCTTGCGACTGGAATGAAATACCAGGCAAACCCCCAGCACTCAGCATATTTGGCGTTGCAGACACATTAGAATGGGTCCCATTACGCCTCCGATGGTCCATAGCAAGAGTACTTCATTTCGCCATTGCTGTATTTGTTGAACGGCTCCACTTGGAGCAACGACAAATCTACTTGCAACTACCTATCCACTACCTGGCGTACTGGCTTGTTCAAGACGTCCTTGCTTTCTTCGACATCCGCATCGCCAACACACTTATGAGATGGCTAAGCGAAATATATCACCAGTGGAACGAAGGAGATGATGTCGATATTGTTGAATGCTTATACCTCAGCAGTCCGATATTTGTCACAGCCCCATTATCCAATGTAGCTGAGTCCAACACCAAGACCTGGAGAGTCAAGCCATTTGCACCCAATTCTCGATCCGTGTTTTCCAGACGAGCTTGCCAATTCGACTATTCTACATTGTCTGCTACAGTTGGACAAAATGTTATCCACAGTGATGAAGAACGTACTGAAATCACTGGGAAGGACAATACAGATAATGATAGTCCAGATATGGTAAGTAGGCTTTGTTACAATGAACAGAAACATACTAATGTACTCAAAGCCCTCAGGTTCGGATTGGGAGGAAAGTTTGAATAAACGCAAACGGGGCAAACCACGAGGTCGCAAGCGGAATGCTAAGGGAAAAGGTAAAGCTGTTGAGGCAGAAGATGTCGAGATGGAGGACGTTCAGACGAAGCCGAAACGTAAACCGCGAGTTCCCAAGCGGACTTTGAAGGGGAAGGGAAAAGCTGTAGAAGATCGAGATGTCGATAGAGATGTTGATATGCAGGACGTCCAAAACACGCGGAAGAGCAGAAAGAAGGCAGTCACATCGAAGGCGATAATTGAAGATAGCGAAGAATCGTCAGATGAGGGACCACCTCTAGCAGCAAGTTCAATTAATTCTAATGTTATATGTGCTTATGCTTACCTACCATCCACAGTCTATGTTAGCATCCATGCATTGAATCGCTCATGAAGCAAGACGGTTCAAACGCAACAGCTTAGTTGGAAAAGTAAGTTTCATGTAATAGTACACAATGACAATCTTACTAAAGAAATTGTAGTAACAGATGTACCTGATTGACTGATTGATTACGAGACTGAAAGAGTACATTACGGATTGTAGTTGATGCAGCTATAGTACATATTGTGCGAATACTAGCCTCATTGAAAGCAGCCTGCCATTGTCTGAGGGTCGATATCTCCAACAACACTGAAAACCCACCACCTTGATTTGTTTGCAGAAGATTTATGAAGAGATGTAATTATTATGTACTTTTACAAGAAAAACAGACACATGAGGCAATTCACGAGGTGTACTAATTGTACATGTGGTATATCATGAGGCAAATAATGACACACCGGACCTCAGATCATCCAAGCGAACAGCAATAAATAGGTAGCTGTTCAAGCGCAGAGACGTCTCCAAGTCACCCAGGTCGTCTTACACTCCCACACTGCACTTTTCTCAGTGAGTATCATCTATTCATCATATGCCAGAAGGTCCCATATTCTGATGCAAGACATACACTGGTAGCACATACCAATATCGATTCTAGGTCCCAATGATGCGTGAGTGGCCTCGTTTTGAACTTGAAAGGCTTATATGCTGAGATAAACAGGTATACTGGGCCTTCACTTCCCTTCCGAGGGGTCAATCCGAGAGTATGACGCCGCCGTGGACGACAACGGCACAGTTACGACCAGCGACATCATGAGTGGCCCAGTCCACAAGATCACCATTTGTATCGACGAATATCTACAAGGCTGCATGCAAAGCTTTGACATGTATTACACCTATGATCCGTCCACCACGGAGAACAAGTCTATCAGAGAGCATCTTGGGCTGGAATGGCATGGCGAAGTGTTGATGATGATAAGGTGGCCAGGCCTAGCGGATCCATACGCCAATGAAGATGAATATGGAGACTACGACTATTGGACAGGAGAATATCATGATGCTCAGGCGTATACAGACTATGAGGCGGAGATCGATGATGGAGAAGAAAATACGATGGCTGCGGCATGTATGTGTCATCCCGTTACTGTGACATTGGGCAATACTGAATGATGTGGATGATATAGTGTTCGGTTTGCGCGACCTCCAAGATCATTTATCCACGCACCACACATTACTCCCGGAAGATCACTCGTGCTGGCATTAGGTATAAAGATATGTCTATACCTACCAAAGATAGATACATTATGTGTGGCCTATGGCACAACTATGGCGTCTGCTACCCTATACACAGTCACATTTACATGTTTTATGAGTTGAACGTCAGAAAGAATATCAAGACTGGAGTACCCCACTGACCTTGTGTATGGAGCCAAATAGACGTATGACCGTGTGACGTTCCACGCCTGGTTATACTTTCTGTCTGGATAAGAGTTAGCATTTAGCAGATATAGATACATAGGGACCTACTCCTGAAGAATAGGACAGTCTGGTAATGACAATAAACAGACTCCATGTTGGGTGCAAATTGTAAATATGCAATGCAAGCGCAAATTCTTCATGAAAGACTAATTCCTATGAACATTACAACATCATAAAATGCCACTACAGGACTAGCAAAAGGTCAACATACATTGGATGGCATCCTATCAGTGCAGATGGACTAGGTGACAAGGGCAAGGCAGATAACAGTGCAGCGAGAATAGAGGTCACGTGGAAGGTCTGTGGACCAGTCCGGTGGACCAAAACCAGGGTTAGGGGTCTGCATGAACCTTGCGTTGCGCGGATCACCGCCAAACCTAACAAAGAAAAGAAGCAAAAGAAAGGAGTAGTATAAACGATGTACCTTCGTTCCTCAGGCATCGTAAAAGCCAGAGCTTTCCTTCGCAGCATAGAAGGCTAGCGATGGGGTCATGAATGGTGAGCTGTGGCCCTTCGTTCTCTGCGTCGTTGTTGTCGTTGTCAACGGAGGACACATATTGACCTTCGTCCTTAACGCGTCGGAGACGGTCGGTAGATGCTGCCGATTTTTTGTACTTGAAATGTTGCGCGAGTGCGTGTGCCTTGTTCATGATGATTCCGCCGACGGAGATCATTCTGGAGAATGTTGGCAGCCCGGCGGGCTGGCCCTGGTAGCCGAATGATAGATCAACCTCGGCAGCAGCGTCTTCCAATTCCCTCAAACTGTCTATAGTATCCTCAGCTTCCCGTCCTGATGGGGATACCGGGTTGCACACTCTCCTCCTGCATCTTCAGCTTTCATCATCCTCGAGGTCGTCATCCCGAGAGGAGGGAGGCTGAACAGGGGGACTCCCGCGAGGCGCGAGTATATTTGGTCCTGGGGATTGTTT